CAGGTAATGTCGCTACTTAGCAGGTGGTCAAACTAGCGTAAATGAGGAGGGTTTAATACGATCACGCATTTTCCATGACGGGTGGCAACCCCAGTCTATACTATAAAAATATGATTAAGATTAGAGCCTAAATACGTTCTTTTTCCAAAACAGAAAGGCTATGTAATGTTAGCCAGCTAACAAATTACTATTGCTATCCTAGCATATCAACTAACAGCTAGAAAAAACCAAAACACGTACCGTCGTAGTCAAACTGGTATCAATCAGCGAGGAATTTGTCCAGTTTAGATTATGTTGATGAAGAAAAATTGTCTGCAAATAGTGATATATCTTTAAATCGTATTTGTGGCAGCTGCTTTAGAGTCCAGAAACACCGTTAACTCCACACACCGGAACTAAAGATACACTGGATCGAGTCAAAACGGGTGTTGTCTGACGTCGTGTGAAAAGGGTCTATTTGCTGCTTTAATCTGTTCTTCCGTTACACAGACTTTGTTTCTCTTTTTTCGCTGTTTTTCTCGAAGATTATGCTTTGAAAATTAAGCTATTAAGTTACATCCTCCCGCTGCTTTTTATTGTTAAAATGGTAAATTTAGGTTTGCCTGGACTTTTATAAACTAATGCCTCTTCTATGCATCTCGTTTTGTATTACTGTTAGTAATGACCAAACCCGGTGCTGCGTCTGCTAGTAGTTTAAATTAATTTCAGTTACATACTTTCAAAAGAATATTCAGATTTAACATGCATTTTCTAAGTATTAAATATTTCAGTTCACTCTTACTCCGTAACTTCAGTGTTGTTACACCTTTGAAACATTTTTTGTAGTTTCTTTGTGATACCAGAACTGTTTCATTGAAACATTTAATTTCCTGAGATATTGTCAGTTTTATTTTCAAGCAAAACTTTCAAGAAGAGCTGAGGGTTTATTAGTTTTGATTACGTTGTGTCGCTAAATATGAACACTTATTAGTTTTTTTGTGTTTAATTTTTCAGGTTTGCATGGTAACACCTAATGATGTGTTTCTGAGCCATGATCGCTGTGCTGATTACCTTTCCATTGGATCCAAGCACCTGGACCTGCTGACGCCTCTGACGTGGACCAGCTTTTTATTTACAGTACTTGGTTAAATTAGGACCAGATATGCAAAAATCTACCTGCAGACTTTGTTGGCTACCCTGATGGTCATCCTGGAGGGGCTGAGCCGGGCTTCCTCTCCTCCAGAGTGACGAGTTTACCAGTAAAGACAAAGTCTGATGTCTGAGTAACTGCTAGGAAGTATATTCACTGTTCAATTTGCTATCCTGTTTGTATCTACTATAAAGTTGAATCTCATTTGTAATACTCTACATTTCACAAACCTTTTTTCTCAGTGTTTACATTATATCAAGTATTTGCATGTAGATTCAAGTGAGATATTAAAATGCAACACTTTTAAGTAATACCAGCGAAGAAATGTGAATATTAAGTAATATGTAGTCATATAATTTAATTGACTGAATAAGGCTGGATGATATGACTTATAAGATTTTTCTTCATACCAGATTTGATTTTAATAGATTCCTCCTGCCCTCAATTTCTATAATAAAATCACAGAAAATACTTTCATAAAGTGCCTTTATTTCAATCATCTCTTCTGTGGGTTGTATAAGGGAGCATTACGGCCAGGATACAAGAATTTTTAATTACAACAATGCAGCCATTGTTACTGCAGAATAAAGGTGCAATTTTATAACAATGTCCTAAAATTATAAGTCATTTTAATGAGAAATAAAGATTCAGGTTGATCTGATGTAACCCGCTCATCTGTGTGGTTCTGACATTTGCCAGTAACCAAGAGGATGTACATTTCCACCTCACCTGGCCAGGTAAGCATTAAGGTAAAAATAAAAAATACAGCAAACATATCATTTGGAAAAAAGCAACGGTTAGTTCAGCTGATCTCTCCCTCCAGGAAGCCATCAACCAGAACTCCTGTCCAACTCCAGCTATAATAAAGATAGAAAACATAAAGAAAATGGAAAGTTAAAATAACAAATAAAGCCAATTTGATAAATCAGATCTGATGCGTTCCAGATGCAAAAAACATTCTGAAATTTATCATTAACATTTTACAAATTTCACAAATTAATTGGGTTTCACAAATGTTTTATTTATTCTGCTGTTAGTGCAGAATAATCTAGTTAAGTTTGAAATGTCTAGATCAGGGGTCCCCAAACTTTTTCCTGTGAGGGCCACATAACTTCCCTTCTCTGGTGGGGGGCCGGA